AGAATATATGATATTTAATTATTTCAAATAATTTTTTTTCTCATTTTTATTAAAATTACATAGAAAAAGAAAATTTAAAAAATGTTCACACAGCATTTCTTAAATAAATTTAATTACTATAAATTACACTGTAATAAATACAAATTATTAAATTATTTAAAAAAAGTACAGTCACCAAAAATTTCTTCAGCGCAATGAATTCCCCGCACGTAAAAATTTGATCTTGCGTCATTTTCCTCGAGACAATTGCATTCGAATCTCCGCAACGTCCTACACCTCCTCCCTCCTCCTCGCGCCACCGGCGAAGAATGGCTTTTTCTTCTCCTTCGATCAAAGACCTAATTGGTTCCCTCGACCGCGATTCATACGTTTCCCTCCTCTCAAAGATCATCGGCGAGGCCCGTCACGTGCAGAACAATCCGCCGGATCTCATCCCAAAGGAAGACCGTGTTGCCCGCCATGTTCTTGATGCGCTTCTCCCCCTCAGCACCTCCACTGACGGTGGTCCCCTTGTCGTCTCCCACGTCAGCTACGCTGAGGGCCGCGGCAACATAATCGTCGAATATCCTGGCTCCACCCCTGGCAAGATCCTCTCCTTCGTCGGGTGCCACATGGACGTCGTCACCGCCGATCCCGCCGACTGGGTTTGCTTCTGGTCGATTGCGCTTTTTGATTTTCTAGGGTTTTGGCTAATCGCAATGTTTTGATCCAAACGCTTCTTTGTTGGTAAAGACGCTCTGCGTAAAAGCGTGTTTACCTTTGTTCTATTATGAAAGAAAGAACAATGGCTTGAAAACCTAGAGCGAAAGATGGTCCTCATGCGTATATAGGGCTATAAAACTTTACCTGCATAAAAACGATCTTTTTAGGGTACTAAGTTGATTAATTTCTCGATACATTTTATCTAACTCGACCCAATTTGTGGTTTTTTGATTCGAAATATATGTCAACTTTAATCCAACTTGTTGGCCGCCCCCAATCCCGATTGTTACCATCTATGATGGATGGCCTACGACCTTGCGTTTTTTCCCCTTAATATTTTCTAGTGATTTGGCTAATTGCAGGATTTTGATCCCTTTTCTTTGGGTGTGGATGGTGACAAGCTGAAGGGCCGTGGGACGACGGACTGCTTGGGGCATGTCGCCCTCGTGACGGAGCTCATGCGAAAGCTTGGCCAAGTGAGGCCACCGCTCAAGAATACGGTGGTCGCAGTTTTTATTGCCAATGAGGAGAATTCATCGGTGCTTGGGATCGGTGTGGATGAGCTCGTGAAGGATGGGCTGCTTGATAAGCTCAAGCAAGGACCTTTGTGAGTATCCGCCATCATTAGAGCATCTCCAACCGAACTCCAAACGCGTGAATGATGTCCTGCGACAGCTCCAGCCGAATGGTAAAATTTCTGCTATTTGGCTGCGGGTGAACAGTGGGATGCCAATATTGGCGTTGCACTGTTCATCTCCGTCATTTTTATGTCTCTACCGAACTTGCCGCGCTAAAAAAGAGGCGACAGTTACCTGTAAAAGGGGGAAAAATGGAGTTCGATTGGAGATGAATCACGACATTTTTTAGTTTCACAGCATTTTGGAGTGAAAAATGAAATTTTAGGTTGGAGATGCTCTTAGTTGTGGATTGCTAAATGTTTGTGGCTTTAATGGAAGATTAAAAAATTTTCTTGACTTTTAGCTATTTGTTTTGTTTAAAATGGTGGTCTATTAAAGGTTTTGGATTGATACTGCTGACAAGCAGCCTTGCATTGGTACTGGTGGGATGATTACTTGGAGGCTTCGAGCTACCGGAAAGCTTTTCCACAGCGGTTTTCCCCACAAGGTAATTTTTTGAATGCGTACATCCTGATATTTTAGTTATGGCAAGTGACTTTTGGAGTATGAGAATTTAGGCCAATTAACACAAATTCATGCACACATTCACGTACATAAGGTTTGAACTCAAAACCTATTGATTGGTAGCCAAAGCTCCCAACCAACATATCAAGTTGACCTACATGGAGTATGATGAGTGAATACTTGTGATTTA